TACTCATGACAATGACTTACCTGCTATACCTGTCTCTTTGAAGACCCTACTAGCTTACCTGCGGCCTTTCCCAGTCCACACTAAAAGTCTACCTTTCGGCCATTATGGCTCATTAACCGGACGAATCTCCCTCCTCAAAGTTGTTTCTCACCCAACTGTCAAGAAGTTCCTCAAAGGGCTCAACAACATTTGCCCTCCCCAAGAGCGTATCACCCCTCAGTGGTCACTGCAGCTGGTTCTTAATGCCTTGATGCGACCTCCATTCGAGCCAATGGTGTCCATCGACCTCAAATTCTTAACCCTTAAATCGGCCTTCCTTGTTGCAATCACGTCAGCCAAACGAGCTAGTGAAGTTGCCGCTCTTCAAGCTGATCCTTCCTTTATCCAGTTTATCCCAATAAAGTGATTCTTTACTTTGATGTTTCTTTCCTCCCGAAGGTGGTCTCCGACTTCCACCTCAACCAACCCATCATTCTACCATGCTTCTTCAAATCTCCTTCCTCATCCCTCGAACATATGCTCCATAACCTCAGTGTCAGATGTGCCCTGACCTTCTACGTCGAACTGACAAAAACTTTCAGAAAATCCAGTAAACTTTTTCTTTGCTTTCACGGCCCAAACAAAGTGGCCCCAGCCTCCTCTCAATCCATAGCATGTTGGATTGTACAGACTATCTCCCTTGCTTATAGCTTGTCGGGGAAAACCCCTCCAGAACATTTGACAGCTCACTCCACCAGGGCGCTGTCCACCTCTACCGCCTTTCAGCGTGGCACCGAGGTTCCTGACATCTGTTGCGCTGCTACGTGGTCCACACCGTCCACGTTTGTCAAACACTACCGTCTGGACGTCAGAGCACGCCAAGATGCTGCATTTGGCAGAGCTGTCCTGTCATCCTTCTTACTGTGACGACCCACCAACTGGTAAGTGCAGCTTGCTAGTCACCCATATGTGTGCATTCACAGAAGCCACGAAAAAGAAAAAGAGGTTACTTACCTGTAACCATAGTTCTTTGAGTGGTCCTCTGTGAATTCACACAACCCGCCCATCCTTCCCCTCTATCCGTCACGGGTTAATTATGTAATTAATTAATTCTTTCCTTCATACCCGGCGGATAAAATTTAGGAACTGGGAAAGATGATGGGTGGGAGGAGCATATACCTCGTGGAGGATCACACCATAAAATTGTTACTTTTAGCTCTAGAATCTTCCGAGAGAGTCAGTACAGGCACAGACAATACCCATATGTGTGAATTCACATAGGACCACTCAAAGAACTATGGTTACAGGTAAGTAACCTCTTTTTATGTGAAATCAGATATCCACTTCCTCCCTGCAGTAGACAGCATCACTTCATTTTGTTTCATGTTAATTCTTCCTTCCTCCGTTTTTCTCCCAGTCTAGTTCTGGGAGGCATGTGGCCTTTCACATGCTGTTGAACTACAGTTCTCATAATCCCATACCACTAGCTACACTACCTAGGACTGGTGGGATATGCAGTTGAACACCATGTGAAAGGCTGCATGTTCCTCTTCAGTAGAGATAGCCAAGCAATAATTTTTAAATCAGACATGATACCTGGATTCCCTGTGTTTAAAAAAAAGCCTGTCTGAAAACACATTAGAAGGGACCACATTCGTACCCCTTGCACGTCTGTTCCCCAAAGCATTTTTATAAGCCAAAATCATATTGTTCATTATCTGCAATGGCAGCTTCCATTTTTAGGCTCTGTTTATTCAGAAAGGGCTAAGCCTACTGTGGCTTTACTGCTCTACATTCATGGTTGGCTGTCCGTTTTGGCCCAGCTACTCAAGTGAAGAACAGATTTAAGGAACTAGATAATAGTGGAAAATAACAGAAAAGAAAAAACCAGAGATCTGTTCAGGAAAATTGGAGATATTAGAGGAACATTTTGTGCAAAGATGGATATGATAAAGGACAAAAATGGAAGGGACCTAACAGAAGCAGAAGACATCAAGAAGAGGTGGCAAGAATACACAGAGGAATTATATCAGAAAGATTTGGATATCCCGGACAACCCGGATAATATGGTTGATGACCTTGAGCCAGACATCCTGGAGAGTGAA